GGAAGGAAGGGAGGGAGGGAGAAAAAATTACCATTCATTAAGAGAAAATTAGAAGACATTGATACTCTACATAATTTAGGATGGGCAACCACTAATAACGAGTATCATATATTAACAGAAAAGCTAATTTAAAAAAAAAAAAGCAAAGTAACAAGTTGGCCTGCAGTCCAGGCCAACTCAGACAAAGCCATAAATTGCTACCTGAAAAGTAACTACGCCGAGTGCCAGTGGCTCATGCCTATAATCCTGGCTACACAGGAGGCTGAGATCTGAGGATTGCAGTTCAAAGCCAGACAGGGCAGGAAAATTCATGGGACTCTTTTTTTGGGGGGGTCTGGTCATGGGACCTGAACTCTGGGCCAGGGTGCTGTCCCTCAGCTCTTCAGCTCAAGGCTAGCACTCTACCACTTGAGCCACAGTACCACTTCCGGCTTTTTTCTTTTTGCTTAAGTGGGTGCTGAGGAATCAAACCCAGGTCCTCAGGCATGCAAGGCAAGTGCTCTACCACTGAGCCACCTTCCCAGCCCCTCATGAGACTCTTATCTCCAAATAACCACCAGAAAATTGGAAGTGGCTCTGTAATTCAAGTGGTAGAGCCTTGAACTGAAGAGCTGAGGGGCAGTGTCCAGGCCCGGAGTTCAAGCTTCACAACCAACCAAAAAAAATAAAATAACTAAAAGCAAAAGGGGGAAGTATGGCTCAGGTGATAGAACACTTGTCTAGCAAGAGCAAGGCCCTGAGTTCAAATTACAGAATTCCACACCTCAAAGAAAAAAAAATGAGAAAGGTATGCTAAAAGGTTATGGCATATTTCTCTAATAACCACCTGGCCAAAATTGTACCAAAACTATCCATCCCTCCTGCCCCCCCCCCAACCTCTCCTGTCTGCGTATGTACAGCAGTCCTGGGGCTTGAATTCAGGGCCTAGGCTAGTGCTCTACCACTTGAGCCACAGCTCTACTTCTTGCATTTTGGTAGTTAATTGGAAATTAAAGAGTCTTACAGACTTTCCTACCTATGCTGCCTTTGAACCACAATCCTCAGATCTCGGTCTCCTGAATAGCTAGGATTATAGCTTGAGCCATCAGTACGCAGCCCAAGTGTCCATTTTTATAGTGTGAGTGTGTGTGTGTGTCTCTCTCTTTCTCTCTCTCTCTCTTTCTCCTGGGGCTTAAACTCAGGGGCTGGAAACTGTCCCTGAGCTTTTTTGCTCAAGGCAAAGCAGTTTAACAACTTGAGCCGCAGCTCCACTGCTCCACTTCTGTGTGTGTGCATGTGTGCACACTTGAAGGGAGATAAGAATCTCATGGACTTTCTTGCCTAGGTTGGCTTTGAGCTGTGATCTTTAGATCTCAGCCCTCTGGGTAGCTAGAATTATAGGGGTGAGCAACCAGCTCTTCTACTAGCTTTTAAGAAAAGCAGAATTAAGGTGGGGTATCAGCGGCTCACACCTGTAATCCTAACTACTCAGGAGGCTGAGAGCTGAGGATAGAGGTTTGAAGCCAGCTCAGGCAGGAAAGGCCAGGAGAGTCTTATCGCCAGTTAATCACAGAAAAAGTTGTGATACTGTGGCTCAAGTGGTAGAGCTCTAGCCTTGAGCAAAAGGGGCTCAAGGATAGCACCCACGTCCACAGTTCAAGTCCCAGGACTTGTTAAAAAAAATGCAGAATTCTTATGGCTAATTTAAAACCAAGATTCTCAACCCTGCTCAAAAACAAGAATTAGACGAAACTTCTAGAACCTACTGACTACCTGACTCTCAACCCTGAGTGATTTTACTGAGCTGGCTAGCCTGTACACTGAAATTACTTTCTAGAGAAACTGATTACTCAGATACTGAATTACTCCTTCAAGTACGTGATCATCCTTATTAGTGTACACACCTCTGCCATAGATGAGTTAAGTCTGGCACTTACCTAATGTGCATCTAAGCTGGGGCTGAAGTTTAGAAAAAAATTCATCTCTGACTTCATTCAGACAGGTCTCTATCTCTGTGAATACTTCAGAAGTAAGTTTCTCCCCATCTTCATCTAAAATAAAATAGGATATGATCAACTTCTCATCAATATGTATTTTTTCCACAAAAACTAAGACATTAAAAAAAAGTTTATCAGAAGCAGTAAGTTTTAATTCTTTAAGTCTTAATTCTTCTCCTGTGGTATAATGCACATCCCTTCCCCAGCTGCTACCTGCACAACAGCATGAGCAGCCATTGGATAGGAACTTAAACAGGCCTTTCTCACTCATCCAGATAGCCATGGGCCTAATAAAATACAGGCTGGAACCACAGAAGTGTCTCAGATGTCAGGGCTTTACCAGATCCTGGAATATTTGCATAGACATATTTAGGGATAGGACTCAAGTCTGAACGTATAAATATTTCCTACTAGGCCTACACAACACAACTAAAGATAATTTTGTACAAAATACTGTGTTTTTTGTGTGACCCATCACATGAGGAACACAATATTTTTGGACATCATCTTGGCATATAAACATTTTCAGAACTTTTTTTTAATATACACAAGCTTTATGACATATATGAAAGCAATCTCATTCCTTGGAATGTGCATCTATGTGCACCAAGAGACAGACATAAAGGAGGAAAGAAATCTGCAGCAACTTCAAGTTTCAAAGTATGGAGCATTTCAGATTTTAATTAAGGATACCCAACCAATAGCTAAACTTTTCAAATATTCCCCCTGCTGGGCTGGGAAGGTGGCTCAGTGGTAGAGCGCTTGCCTTGCATGCTCGAGGCCCTGGGTTCGATTCCTCAGCACCACATAAACAACAAAAAGCTGGAAGTGGCCCTGTGGCTCAAGTGGTAGAGCACTAGCCTTTAGCTGAAGAGCCGAGGGACAGTGCCCAGATCGAGAGTTCAGGCCCCACGACCAGACCCCCCCCAAAAAAAGAAAGGGTTCACCTCAAATATTCTCCCTGTCTTTAAAATAGCTAAAGCTATCTTTTTATACTGAATTACTACTTATACTAAAAGCACACATTGTGATTTATTTTCCCTCCAATCTTGGGGCTTGAACTCAAGGCACTGTCCCTGCGCTTCTTTTGTTCCAGGCTAACACTCTACCACTTGAGCCACAGCGCCACTTCTAGCTTTTTCTATGTGGTATGAGGAATTGAACCCAGGGCTTCATGCATGCTGGCAAGCACTCTACCACTAAGCCACATTCCCAGCTTTGCTGGGCATGTTTCTTTGCTTTAAATTATAATTATTATGGTGATAAACATACTGAAGGGCTTATCTGCCCATATTTTGATCATTCCTTCAGTGTAAAAATACTCAAAATGGAATTACTGTGAGAAAATTATGATTGTTACTTTTTGTCACCTGAATTCTGGGCCTGGGCACTCTGTTCTCCCTAAGCTCTTCAGCTCAAGGCTAGCTCTACCACTTAAGCCACACACCACTTCTGGCTTTTTACTGCCTATGTGGTGCTGAGGAATCGAACCCAGGGCCTCATGCATGCAAGGCAAGTGCTCTACCACTGAGCCACCTTCCCAGCCCCTAAGAAAATTATTTTAAAAGGCTGGAAATCAGGCTCAATCGGTAATAATGCCTGCCTCGCTAGCCCAAAATCCTTACTTCAAACCCTGCTACCACCAAAAAGAAACAAAATTATTTTGATAAAAGCCTCCACAGGTACTGGACTTTAATTACTTCAAAGCTAGAATTAATCTTTCTTTTATTTCATACAAACCCTGATCATTCTGGTTATGTTCACAAATGAAAATACTTAAGATTGTTTAGAATATGAAGTGTATGGCTGGGAATATGGCTTAGTGGTAGAGTGCTTGCCTAGCATGCATGAAGCCCTGGGTTCAATTCCTCAGTACCACATAAACAGAAAATGCTGGAAGTGGTGCTGTGGTTCAAGTGGTAGAGTGCTAGCTTTGAGCAAAAAGAAGCTCAGGGGCAGTGCCCAGGCCCTGAGTTGAAGCCCCAGGACTGGCAAAAAAATATATATATGAAGTATATATTACCTAAGTTTTTCTTGGTCATGGGAACAAGAAAATTTGTAATAAAGCTCAATAATAACTAAAACCAAAGCAGGCGCCCACAGCTCATGCCTTTAATCCTAGCTATTCAGGAGGCTGAGATCTGAGATTCATGTTCCAAACCCATCACAAGCAAGAAAGTCTGTGAGACTTACATCTCCAATAAACTGCCCCCAAAAAGCTCAATATAGAGCCCTGGCTCAAGTGATAAAGCACTAACCTTGAACAAAAGAAGCTTAGAGACAATGCCCAGGCTAAGTTCAAGCCCTAGGACTGGGGCATACATGGCATGCAGGCACACAGATAAGCATGCATGCATGTGTGTACACACACACATACACAAATTAAAAACCAGATTTTTTTTAAAAAAAAACTTATTCGGCAAAGACTTAATAGAAGATTAAAAAAAATTAAATTCCAATATTTCAGTTGAACAGCCTGACTGATCAACAATGGGAAAACAATGCACAGGACTGTACAACCAAGGTCATACTTTTAATTAATGATTAAATCTCTGTCAAAATGATTAAGAATACAAACAACAAATGATGGTGGTGATGTGATGAAAAAAGAACTCTAATACACTGTCGGTGGGACTATAAACTAGTGTAACCACTATGTAGGTCAGTATGGAGGTTCCTCATAAAACAAAAAACAGGACTACTCTATGATCAAGCACCACTGCTAAGGCATTTATTTATCTAAAAGAATGTAAATTAGGAAACAAGGTATCTCACATCCATGTTCATTAAGATACTATTCACAAGAGCCAACTTATAAAAACAGCCCAGATGAACTACTTCTGACAAATTAAGAATATATAGACATATATGAAAAAATTGAACACATACACACACACACATATGTACACACACATACAATGGCATTTACTTCATCCAAAAGAACATTGTGTCATTTGCAGGGAAATGATGGGACCTGGAAAAAATTGTGTTAAGTGAAGTAATTCAGGGTCAAAAAGAAAAGGGTTTCTATTTTTCCAGTATGTGGAAGTTAGATCTATAAGGTAAACATACAAAGAAAACAAATACAGGGCCATATGTATTTATACACATGATCCAACTGACTAAAGTATGGTATATGCAGGAGTAAGATTCCATGATGGAAGCCCAATTCAACAGACAATTTAACAAAAATGAGTATCAGAAAGCTATAACATGTCTTTATTGTGAGGGTGAGCTGCAAGCTACAAAAAGAAGGGCATGAACTAATGGAAAGAAGGGTAAGAGAATGCAGTCATAATATTCAATGTACATAGTTGAAAATGGACCCAGGAAACTGAAGGAGATGGATGGGGATGAGTTATGTAGGAGGAGAGACTGAGAAGTAACTCTGATCAAGAAGGAAGACACATAAATGGCCATGATAAACTGAACCCCTGTGGTATAACTATTTGAAGATTAAATAATTTAAAAAGCAGTAATCAGTCCATATTTATACAACAAATATAAGCAATGCTTGTCAATTTTTTTTACAACTTTGTATAGTGTTCCCCTCTTATTCATGCTCTCACTTTTGAGGTCCACAAATATTAGATGAAAATGAAACACAAGTCAGGATCAAAATTAAACTTTATGAACTCTTCCTGACTTTAGGGGAGAAAAGACAAATTTTGTTGGTTTTTTGAGGGGAGGGGAGGGTGTGCACTCACGTGCATGCCAGTCCTGGGATTTGATCTCAGGGCCTGGGCACTGTCCCAGAGCTTTTGTGCTCAAACTAGCACTCTATCACTTGACCCACAGCTCCACTTTCACCTTTTTTGGTAGTTAATTGGCGTTAAGATTCTCACAGGCTTTCCTGCCTGGGCTGGCTTTGAACCATGATCATCAGATCTCAGCCTCCTGAGTAGTTAGGATTACAGGTACGGATACAGGTATGAGCTACTAAAGCCCACTGAAAAAAGGTTTAAAAGCCACCAATTATTATTAGCACTAAAACCAAGCCGAACACTTTCCCGTAGACCAAAATACATTTTATTTTTTTAATTTTTATTTTTTTTGGGTCCGGTTGTGGGGCCTGAACTCTGGGCCTGGGCGCTGTCCCTCAGCTCTTCAGCTCAAGGCTAGCGCTCTACCACTTGAGCCACAGTGCCACTTTCGGCTTTTTTCTTATATGATGCTGAGGAATCGAACCCAGGGCCTCAGGCTTGCAAGGCAAGCACTCTACCACTGAGCCACCTTCCCAGCCCCAGACCAAAATACCTTTTAAAAAGCAAAATCACAAACTGCAAACTTGAGAATAAGTAATATCTATATATCCATATATATGTGTGTGTGTGTATATATATATATGACATGAAAATACTAGAAGGCTATAAAGAAAAATCAGTAAAACATGACAGTCAACATAACAAACAGGATTTCATGAGAGGGAACCCATATGATCAATATACACAAGAAAAAGCCAATGAATCAATCTCTTAAAATATCTGGGATAAGACAAATCAAAATTGAAGACCATTTTATACCACTCAAATAGAAAAATCTCAGTATGAAAATAACCAAGGTAGGGTTGGGATATAGCTCTGTAGCAAAGCATTTTCTTAGCAAATGCAATGTTCTGGGTTCAATCCCTAGTACAAAAGAAAAAAAAGACAATATAAAAATGTAAAATGTAAAAAGAAAATAACCAATAAACAAGGGAGAATGTACTGATCAGGACAATATCTTATACACTGATAATGAGAATACTGACTGTCACAACCACATAGGAAAACAGTTGCCATTATCTGTAGATCTGGACTCAAAGCCTATTATCTGGCCAACTCCATTCCTATGGGACATACAAGAGAAAATCTGTTTGTACCATGGCCTGGGAACTGCTCAAGAATGGTCACAACAGCAGTATTATAATGGCAAAAAAGTAAGCCACCATCCACCAACAGGTCAACAAGTGAACAAACATACAACTGGTCCTTGGCACCTGCAGGTTCCACATCTCTACACTCAACCAGACTGAAAACATTTGGGGGAAAAAACTGCATTTGTTTGAACACAGACTTTTCATTGATGTTACTGCCTAAACAATAGCCACTATTTACAAAACATTCTCATTGAAGTGGGTATAGTAGGCAATCTAAGAATAATTTAAAATATATATAAAAAGGGATAAACATACAGCTTAGTGGAAGAGTTTTTGCCTACTTTGCACAAGTTGCTGGGGCCTGATTCCTACCACCACGAATAATGAAAGTAAAGTTACACACAGTTTAAATATGGCTAGATTTAAAGAGAGAGGGAAGGGAGCCGTGTATAGCATCCTTGGATTTTGGTGGCTATAGGAAGCCCTGTAACCAGTGCCCCATGAATATACCAGAAAAAGACTGTATTATAGCTTAAAGCCTTAAACTCTGATAGGCTAAGACACATGACTACCTTTCTTCTTTCTGACTAGCTTTAGAAAGACTGCTTTTCTGTGGCAGTTGTGACGCTTATAATGAGTATTATCTCAACCTTCACAGCACTATGCCTAGGCTGCCTGCCTCCAGATCTCCACCCAGAACAGGAACTAGTGATGGCATCTTTTCCACATTCTCTGAGACAAAACTCAACATTCACATCTTAAAAAAATAAGAGAAATATACTAGTACCAACCTTTATCTCTTTCTAACTGATTGGCATACAGAAGCTTATTTGCTTGACTATATCTCTCGAAGAGCCGCCAAAATATGGATTTCTCCTTGGAACAAAGTTCAGTCACAGTGGTCTTCAGCCATTCCAAATGCACCAAGGCTGACAGGATGCAGTCTAACCAACACAAAGCATGAGCATTTCTCCACTGCACATACATAGTATGCTGATATGATACAGCTCTATTCTCCAATGGTGTTTCCGGGTCAGACCTTTCATTTTGAGGGGAAATTCCCCGAGTTCCAGAGATGGTAATCGTAACAGGATCTTCAGCAACCAGAATGTTACTGTCAGCTTCCAAAGTCTCTTGTGGCTCCAAGTAGCCCACTGTTCTAACTGGGTTCTGTTGACTCCGACTGTGCTGTATGTCTGATAAGGCTGCAATACATACTTCTCCATCACAGTCACTATTCAAAGTCACGTCACTGCCAGTGACAACAGAATGTCTAGACTTTTTGGAACTCGATAGAAGAGGCAAATCTTTACAGCTAGTTTCCAGTATCTTTCTTTTCTGAGGTTTATTTGGAGTATGACAATCTTCTGAATCAGGACAAATTAAATTATTAAGTGATCTAGAGCCCAAAGGATAGATGCACTAGAAAGGAAAAATAAAATCATAAAAATGCAAATATTCAAATAAGCTCAAGTTTCTATGCTATGAAAAACATACATTTCTAGCATTAACTGGACTTATCAACCTAAATTTAAAACAACTAGAGACAACTATTTAATCAAAATTTAGGCCCCCAAAAGAGTAATTTTTCCTAGCTAATTTGGACAACTAAGGATTTAATCTGAGTTATAGTAGGGTAATCTAATGAGGAAAATCTTCATTTTTTCCTTTAATAAAGAATCACATGTTAAGTAAATTAGAAAATTCCACCAATGTAAGGAGATGATGATGTCATTATCTTCAGACAGATGCACTTTACAGCACTGAAAATTGAGAAAGTATTTAACGTAAGAAATTACATTGGGCAATTTCTATGTTCTACATTTTGAAACTGAGTATGAATCTATTTTATATCCTTATCAGGTTTAAAAGTCAAATTGGCTGAATTTTAATGAATTATCACTTCTACTATACATTAACACAATTTCAGCCAAATATAAAGAATGTAAACAAATCATTAGTGAATTCTTCCCAATTCTGAAGACTACTAAAATACTCTACAAATTTAAAAGCCAACACACTAAATACTCCCATTTAAAAATATCCTTTCTAGGGCTGAGAATGTGGCTTAGCGTGCTTGCCTAGCATGCATGAAGCCCTGGGTTTGATTCCTCAGTACCACAAAAACAGAAAAAAGCCTCAAGTGGCACTGTGGCTCAAGTGATAGAGCACTAGCTTTGAGCAGAAGAAGCTCAGAGACAGTGCCCAGGCCCTAAGTTCAAGCCCCATGACAGGCAAAAACAAACACAATAATAATAAAATAAAAAACAAGTAAATAAAAACAAAAATATAGGGCTGGGAAGTTGGCTCAGTGGAAGAGCGCTTTGTCTTGCATGCATGAGGCCCTGGGTTCGATTCCTCAGCACCACATAAGCAAAAAGAAAAAAGCCGGAAGTGGTGCTGTGGCTCAAGTGGTAGGGCACTAGCCTTGAGCTGAAGAGCTGAGGGACAGTGCTCAGGCCCAGAGTTCAGGCCCCACAACCAGACCAAAAAATAAATAAATAAAAATAAAAATATACTTTCTAGAGGGAGGTATGATAGCACAAATCTATAATCTCATCATTAGTGAGGCTGAAGTAGGAGAATGAGTTAGTACAAGGCTAGCCTACATATTAAGGCCATTTCAAAAAACATGTCTTAATATGCCTTCTAAGAAGTACCTTACACCAACTGGTCACATGTGCATACCTGATACACATGAGTCTGATAGGTAAGCACTGACTCACTGAGCCCTGCTCAGAGCTCAATTAACCTCAGGAAGAACAGAGATGCCCAGGTAACTGAGGTAGCTCTTTGACAGCAGCCAGTGCCAAATGCCAGACATATGGCATTCAGCCAGCCCAGTAGATACTGTACTTGGTTAACCCAAAAATTATGAAAATAGTAAGCTGAAGCCATTGCATTTTGTAAGCCAGCAGGCCAAAGATGATTTCACAGCAATAAGTAAAATGCACTAAATTATCTTTCTGGGCACATAAATACTATTCTGAAAAATACTTAATTCCAGAGCATTAGGAGAGAATGACGGAAGGGGTTATACTGATCAAGATGGATTATACTCATAACCTGACTTGTGAAACTGAAATTGTTTTGTACAACTAATTAAAAACTGAAGAAATTCTTTAGTATACATGGACAAATTCTGGATTCTGACTCTGACTACCTTCTAGCTATACAGTGAACATCAACTTTGAGATTTCCTTGAGATTTCCTAAATGCTACTCTACGCCGAGAAGCTAAGAAAATCAGTAACAAGTCAGGCATAGTGGTACATGGTTATAAGCCTAACACTTTGGATGCTGAAGCAGGAGGATCTCAAGTTTAAGGACAGCCTAGGCTCTACTGAGTTCTAAGCTATCCTGAAATCCTGTCTTAAAACAAAAAAAAATTAATAACTAAATACATATATGTACATATATTATAATCTGTTGCAACATATATATGTATATGTATTATAATTTGTTGCAATAGTTAAGTCATAAAGAAGAGAAACTGCAGGTGTGACTCAAGTAAGCAGCAAGCACAAGGCCCCAAATTCAAACTTGTATACTGCCTTCCCTAAAAGCCATGAAAAGGTGTATATCTTTAAAAAACTGAAAGCAGGATATCAAATGGATATCTGCACACTCATGTTCAATGTAGCATTTTTCACAATAGCCAAAGATTCCGATTTCACTTTCAATGAAGCATACCCCTCACCACTCCATTTAAAACTCCAGTCTCTATTGCTTTATTGTGCTGCCCAACACTGTTCTTTCTTTGTGGGGAGCTAGGGTCTCACTCTGTTGCCCAGGCTGGCCTTGAACTAGTGGGTCTCCTGCTTTAGCCTCCCAAATAACTGGGATTATAGGCCTGTGCCACTGAGTCACAACTTCTATATAAGAATTATAGCAGTGGATACAAATTACCCTAAGTCTAAAAGGTATTTACGTTCTTTTATTGTGTTAGGATTGGGGGGGGAGCCATTTTAGGTTTTGGGTTTTTTTGTTGTTGTTTTTGTATTTTTGGAAACAAGGTCTCTTACATAGCCCAGGCCTTCTACCTTAGCATCTTAACTGCTCAGATTACAGATATGTGCCACCATTCTTGACTTAAAACTTTTAAGTACATACTATTTATGAGCATGCACACCATTTTTTAACTAACCAATTTCTAAATATTCTTCCAAGTAAACTATAGATTAATAACTTTTCTAAAGTTAACAAACAGAAGTAAAAGTAACTATGATATGCTAGAATAGCTAACAAAGACCCCACAAGATTAGCCAGTAATCATATGTAACAATTCAATAATCCAAATGGAAAATACAAACATTGTATTTTAGACAGATTTAGGAATGCAGATTGCCCACACATTAAAAAGTTACATTCTGTAATACAAAATGAGTAAAAATTTTGACAATGAAGAAAAAATAAAAGACTAAAACCCATATAACTATTTCAGATTAATACTTTACCTGTAGATCTTCACACAAAAAGATAGACTCTTGAAAACTAATTCGGTAAGTCTTTAAAGCATTCAATTTTCCCTTCTCTCTACAAGCAGGGCAATACTCAATTGAAGTAACTTTAGCTGGATCATAATTCTAAAAGGGAAATAAGGCAAATTAAAATAGACACTCCTAAATTATAACAAATTACAAAAAGTTAAATGGAAATGATAACCAGAAAAAAAAAACCTCACACAATTTTCAACTACCAGTGTCCTGGCCAGATCAAACACAGAAAAATAAATGTATATAAAGTTTTAAACACAGCTATTAGTTGAAAAAGTATATTATACTTTTAAATATAAATTTCAAGGGTTCAGTACCAATTTTATTTGCAAGAAAAAATGTACATAAACTGCCAGGAAAATGTCTCATTTTTTAATAAATAGTAAACCTTAAGATCTATGTTTTATATCTACTTTCATACATCAATAACATGAGAGGTAAACACATTAAAACAATCTTTCGCCATTGCTGTAAGATTTCCGTGGAAGACATCATTTTAGAAATTAATTAGTAAAATTAAAACTGAATTTAATTTTCAAAAATAGAAGAAAAAAAAACAGCTTTGCACTGAGGCAAAAAATAAGTTCACTAACTTTTCCCAAGTACCCCACCACGGGGAGTGATGATCTCCCTATATCAGTCCCCGGTCCCATCACTGGCAAACCATTTCCAATCTTCAGAGAATCCATCATTCCGAGTCATTGGCTAATTTATGTCACTTGAAACATTTCAATATCACTAAGGATATTTCAATGAACCCTGGAAAAAAGAAAGTCAATAAACGGTTAAATAACTAAAAAAGAGCTTTGCTATTTTATGAGACAGATACACTAGGTATATTTCAAGAGCCACCTACCGTAGAATAAACATATTCTAAAACTGTAACCTTTAAGTTGAAAACTACCTACATTTATAGAAGCCAGAGACTGGCCATCAGATGAATTTTCAGAGCAGACCCGAGAGCAAACTTTAGTAGAGGTAGTTGCTTATCAATATTAAAGCAACTATTTCACTAAAATTTGAAAACCTATGTTTTTAAGACTGTATGCACAATTTAGGAATAAGCCAGAATTAGAACAGTAACTGTGTCAAACCTGTCCTCCATCCACTGTGCTATTACTTAATAGAAATAATACAACAAAAGAACCCTAGATTTCATACATTCCTACTGTTCTCACTACCAATCTCTCCTCATAAATTAAGAATGCTACTTTTAAAGTTTCCAACAAGATACTAATTTACATTATTTGTAAGTGATATGTACCACAACAAACACTCCCCATATACAGAGTACACATGATACTGCTTGGGGGTGTAATCCCATGGACTCTACATTCAGTATAGTCAAAATTTACAAGATAGGACTCAATATAAAGAAAAAGCTATTAAAAGATATTTAATACCCAGGCCCAGAACTTAAGCCACATGACCGACCAAAAAATTAAAAAGGCATTTAAATGTGGATTTAAAATATAGCAAAATGAGATACAGAAGTCCTTTTAGCAGCAGTAAGTTACGCTGAGCAAGAACATGTGATTTCAGTTTAAATCTTTCTGAAACCTAAGAAACCATGATCCTAGAACCACCACCTTCTTCTGTTTTATGGATTCACTCTAAAAATGATTTAAGCTTTTCTGTTCTAGCTGTATAAACATCACACACCTTTCAGGTCAAGATTCAAAAAAAGTCATTGAAGGTGAGCCTTTTCTATTTCTGAAAAGTAATCACAGAATAGGGCTTCTCATCTTCAGTACCTCATGTTTTGGACCAGTTATTCTTTGTGACTAGTGCTGTGATGTCAATGGGGGATGTTGAGTGGCATCCCAGACTTCTACACACTGGGCTGGACAAACCAAAACATTTCCAAACACTGCCAAACGTCCGCAGGCAGGCAAATATATCGCATTGAGAGTGACTATGTAAGGGTTTTTACAAGTTGGCTGCTCTGTAGGCTCCTTACAGACAATACCAACATTCTCTTTGGCTGCTTACTAAAAGAAATTTCCAAATACCAGGTACTACTTTAGTGTTAATTTTATATTTTTCATATAAAACGTATACATATTTATATAAACTTTATATGTTATACTATGTAGAACACATGCCCGTGCATATATCCTCAAAAAGAAATGTGGTAGGTGTGTACCCTCAATAAATTGATTCGATGAGAACTTCCATAATCCTGATAGATCTAGGAGATCGTTTTAGCGGTTCACTTTTCTCAATCACAGAACTGAGACGTTTCCAGATCTACTCTAATCCCACTACCCAATATCCCAATGGCAGAAGCCATAGTACCGAGTATTCAGCACTCCATGAAAGAAAATTCATTTAAAAAACAAAAACTGCACGTGTACTGTCCATGTCCTCTCTCAAATACAATTTACCAGGTCTTATGTATCAACCTTAATCTTCCCTAAACGGACTGCCCTACACTATCTTCCCTTCAAAATAACTTGTTCAACTCCCCTGGATCCCACCTACAGTTTGGCAATCTCCAGCCATCCAAACACAAGAGTAGAAAGTTGGAGCCATTCTCTACTCTTATTGCCCATTTCATGCAATGAAAGAGACCAAATTTGGGGGCGGTTCTCTGGCGACGTTTCTCATCCCTCTTTCCCGTTAAATAAGCCTGAGCCTATCACTGTTCAGCTTAAAATCGCCTACTTAACTCCAATGGGAAAAGTCCAACCTAACAGCTCACTCTGTAGGGTTTACAAGTCCAGAAGAGACGAGCCTACTTTTCCCAGTCTTACTCCACCCCGAGCATTCCTCCTTACATCCCTCCCTTTTCAAAGCTTCCAGAATGCTAGCCCAGTACGATAAAGACGCCAAGCGTGTATAAAGTTCGTCCCGGGGCTCACACCAGACATGTGGTTAATTGAACTTCATTCAATCGCACGTGCAGGACTGGGAGCCGGAGGAAGAAGGGCCGAGCTCGCCCCGGGCAGACGAGGCGGGATCAATGCGTGAACCTGTCGGGACTAGGCAAGCACCGGCGCACCACGGTCAGGGGCGAGCACCCCCCAGAGCCAGGCCCAAGGCGGGGTTCAAAGCCCATCCCCGGGGGCCCGCGGAGCCCCGCTCGCCGCGCCCCGCTCCCGGCCCCTCTGGTTTCTCCTCAGCGTTGCCCCGCCGGCCGCGCACACGGGCCGCGCCTGCAGCCCGGCCCCACGCCGCGCGCGCACGCCGCATGGGTAACCCGCACGCTGTCACCCTAGCGGTCCCTCACTTCGGCAAAGCCCAGCTTCCTCCTTACCTGCTCCGGACACTCCCCTTCATGTCGGGCGGGTTGGATCTCGGGTTCCACCTTGAGCTCCGACACGACGGCACGGTCACGTCCAACCCACACGTTCCCCCTCAGGCTACTCCACCACCGCCGCCCTCCCCCCCCCACGCCAACGGCGCCTCCGCTAGAAAAGCGGCTTCCGGTTTGAGTTCGCGGCAAAAGCGTTCCCCTTCCGGCAGTACGCCAAAGAGTTTCAAAAGACGTGGGCGTGGCGGGGAAGACAAGGGCGGGCGCACTTCCGGCGAGCTCCGCAGAGGCGGGGCCGGCCGCCTCCCAGCGGCGGCCGCCGCCGCAGAGACCCACTGCGGCGACCGGTAGGGGCGGGGCCGGGTCCCTTGCCGCGGCCCGATTAGTGTGAGTGGCTGGATGGAAGCTGCTGGAAAGCACTCAGCAGCAGCGGGGGGAGGGGGGAGGGAGGGGCTGGCGGAGATGACGCCAGCGGCCAGGGGGTGGGGCGTGATTAAAACTAGTGCGCGGCCCGCTGCGGAGGGATTACGCTGCTCGGCCCGACGGCGGCTGGCGTCTCTGGGCTGTCCTCGCCGGCGCCGGCTGGGGGTGGGAGGTGGACGGTGAGGATCCGTGGGTGGGGGGCGGGGAGGGAGTTGGGGGAATCTCTGGGTCCGACATTCCCCGGAGTTAGCCGAAGGGGGAAGGACTGCTGCCGAGGCCCCCCGCCGGCTGCCCGGGCTTCGGTGCGCGGCCCGCCGCCAGCGCGCGCTCCCTTCCCTCCTCCCCGCACCCTCACCTTGCAGACCGGGATGCGGTGCCTCTCCTCCTTTCCTCCCTCCTAGATCTTCTCACGGTAAGGGGGGAGGGGGGGGACCGCGGCCCGGCCTTGTTCTCGAGAGTTCTGAGGAGGAGGCGGGCTCGTCGCTGCGCTGGAGGAGTTTTGGACCGCTGCCCTCCGGTTGGCGGGGACGTGGCGGCCACGTCCGCCGGCCTGGTCCAAGTCCCGAGAGCAGCCTGCTCCTGAGGTCCTTTGGGTCCGATGTGGACCGTGACCACGGATCTACGATTTGTGGTTTCCCGTCGTTGCTTTGCGGGAGGCATCGTGATCCTGGGTACTACAGGCCTTAAAAAAAAAAAAGTGGCCTCAAAGAGTTAGATTCTGGCATCAGGACCTGATCGTTTGGGGTTTTGGGTGGTTTGGAGTAACAAGCACCGCGTAGGAAGAAATAATAATAAAAAGGATTTTGGTTCGTGGAGTTTACAGCAGTTTGTGAGGGTTCACACACACACACACACACATTAGACTGACTTCTCTCTTTTTTTCTTGTAGGTGTACCCTTCTGAAAAATCTAGGTAGAGTTTTTATTTTAACGATTACGATGTTAGTAGTGTTCCCCCCTGAATTAGTAGCCCCAAACAGGATTGTTTTCTTAACGTGCTATTTCATTTTTAGCATGGAATAGGATTCTTTTGCAATAACTTCATTGAATGTTAACTCAGAAAGTGAAAGAAACGGACTGGTTCAATAGCTAAACTTTTAATACTGCAAAGTAACGACCAACCTGCATTACATCAAAAAGTTAAATGTCCTGCAATGCTGATTTGTAGTCATTTAGTGCAAATTTTATTTTATGGGTTTTTTTCGTTTTGGTTTTTTTGTTTTTGTCAGCCCTGGGACTTGAACTCAGGACATGAGTGGTTTACCTGAGCCTTCTCACTCCAGACTAGTGTTCTGTCACTTTGAGCCATTTGGGGGGGGGCGTGTTTTGTTTTTGTTTTTGTTGGTTGTCGGGTGGCTTGAATTCTGGGCCTGAGCGCTGTCCCTCAGTTCTTCACCTCTACCACTTGAGCTACAGAGCCACTTCCGATTTTCTGGAGATAGGATTTTTATTGGAGATAGGAGTCTCATGGACTTTCCTGCCCTGGCTGGCTTTAAACCATGATCCTCAGATCTCAGCCTCCTGAGTAGCTAGTATTACAAGAATGAGCCACCAGGGCCTGGCCATTTCTGGGGTTTTTTGGTGGTTATTTAAAGAGTCATGGACTTTCTTGAATTATTTGGAGGTTTTTTGGCTAGAAAAAAAAAGCAACATATACTGCAGGTGAGACTTAGGTTATAAGAGAAAACCACAAGGATTTTAATATGTACAGTGTTTGATTGCAGAGATTTAACCTTTGTTAAGAAAAATAGGAAAAATCTTAAAAGACAAAAAAGGGGACGATTCTGATACAGCTTAGAAGTTAATTAGAAAACATCCCATTTCTGAAGAGGAAAGAAGGATGGCCAATAGACACATGAAGAAATGCTCAACCTCCCTAGCCATAAAAGAAATGCAAATCAAAACAACATTGAGATGCCACCTCACTCCAGTTAGAATGGCTGAAATCAAGAACTCTAATAGCAACAGATGCTGGAGGGGATGTGGACAGAAGGAAACCTTACTGCATTGTTGGTGGGAGTGTAAGCTTGTTCAACCACTTTGGAAAGTAGTATGGAGGTTCCTCAAAAGACTCCACATAGAGCTCCCCTATGACCCAGCAATCCTACTTTTGGGCATTTACCCAAATGTTTACAAACAAGACCACACTAAAGCTACCAGCATGACTATGTTCTTTTTGTTGTTTTGTTTTGGGTTTTTTTTTGGGGGGGGGGTCCGGTCCTGGGGCCTGAACTCTGGGCCTGGACGCTGTCCCTCAGCTCTTCAGCTCAAGGCTAGCACTCTACCACTTGAGCCACAGTGCCACTTCTGGCCTTTTTTTTTCTGCTTATGTGGTGCTGAGGAATCGAACCCAGGGCCTCAGGCATGCAAGGCAAGTGCTCAAATGTTTTTTTTTCTTTCATACGATTGTTTCTAACACATTTATAAGATTATTTCTTTGTTGCTTTGTATGTCCCTCCCCCATGGTATAACCCCTGCTTTCACTGTATTTGATGTCGGTATAATTTGTGGAGGGGAAAGGGAAAAACAAATCGTTCAAATAGGGATACAGGTGGACCCATTGCAACAATGAGATGTACAAGTCGAAAACAACTTTGGGGAGGGGGCAGGGATGGGAAGGGGAAACAAAGGAGGAAGCTACAATGCTTGATAAGAAATGTACTCATTATCTTTCCCATGTAATTGTAACCCCTCTGTACAGTATTTTCACAATAAAAAAATAAAATATCCCATTTGTTTAGGCCCCAAGTTTATAAAACAACACATTTCTACCTTTTTTTTTCTTTTTGTCCCTACAGGGTTTTGTTTAAACTCACTGTGTGGCACTCACTGTGTGGCACTTGCTGGGCCAGGGTTCTACCATTTAAGCTATTCCTCCAGCTCCACTTTTTTTCAATAGAGAATTATCTTGTACTCTTCTGCCCCAACTGGCTTAGAACCATGAGCCTCTGAATCTTAGTCTTCTGAGCAGCTAGGATTATAGGTATGAGCCACCTAAGCCCAGCTGGAATTCTTCTATGTACACTGGTTCCAAAGAGAGTGCAATTACCTTCCAGTGAGTGAGTGGAGCTCATTGGCTTCATCCCTTTGTCAACATTGTGGGAGAGAAATTGTATTTACCTGTTTGATCTGAAAAATTTAGTGAAAGGAAGCTTTTATTAATAACTAACAACTACAATAGGAGTACAATACCATACAATTAGGGCTTTTTCCACTCTATTAGGTTGAATTTCTTAACCCCAAACCAAGCCTTTAGCCTTTAGTAAATACTGCTTCTATGATTGCTTGTTCTGATACGAAGAATTGGAGGTATGGCTCAAGAATGGTAGAGCTCCAACCTTTAGTGAAAAAGCCATATGAGTGTGAGACCTTAAGTTCAAACCCCAGTTTGAGCATAAACAGAAAAAGGAGTTGAAGTAACCAACTTAACATTCTGGCACTCTTTAAGTTTTTAGGTGACTCCTTATCTAAATCTAGCCTTCAGAAACCTTGGAAAATTAAGTTTTTTTAATGTAGGGACAAAACTCACTTGGTAGTAAAGAAGGACCTAAACTAAGGACAAGCTCTTTAGCCTTCATCCCATAGGTTTTACTGAGAGTGCAACTATTAAGACTTGATTGTATTACCAGTTGCTGCTCTTGGCCACTGTATGTGTAGTGTTAGGTAATGGTTTGTGTACTTATAACTTTTTTTTTATGTGCCAGTCCAAGGGCTTGAACTCGGGCCCTGGGCACTGTCCCTGAGTTTTTGTACTTAGAGAGAGAGAGGGAGAGAGAGAGAATGTGTGTGTGTGTGTGTGTGTGTGTGTGTGTGTGTGTTGTAGATAAGAATCTCACAGATTTTCCTGCCCTTGCTGGCTTCGAAACCCAATCCTCAGATCTGACTCCTGATTAGCTAGGATTACATAAGTGAGCCAATGGCTGCCAGCGTAACATTTTTTAATTCCTAGAAATTCTTAGCTCTAAAATAAACCTAATCCTTGGGTTCTAGTGAAGGAATTGTGAGCCTGTATTAATGTTTGTGATAGTACTCTATGCTAGGTGTACTAGCCAGCCTTGAACAAAAAGAAGCTCAAGTACAGTGCCCAAGCCCTGAGTTCAAGCCCCAGGACTGGCAAAATAATAATAATAATAATTTGGTACATTTTAGTATTTGTCCTCAGTGAATTTCTTTGAGTTAGGATAGGAAAACGGGTTGTGTAAGTAACAATTACAAGGAACAATATGCATAGTTTGTAAGTGTAGTCACATAATAACCCAAAGAAATTACTAGCCCCAATGTGTTGGTTTCTACTTTGAACTCTACAACTTAGATACACTATGGTATCATAGTACAGCCCAAGCTTATTATGTTGTGCTTTGCTTGCATTGAATGAGAACTCTGAATAATAATGAGTCCTCAGTAGATATTGGAATACCTGATTTCTCATTCCATCTCTTCTGCTGTATGACCACATACAGCCTCCTTAATTTTAAGTTATTGGAACCTCTCAAAAAAAAATTTGGAACAGATGGATGTCTTAAAGAAGGTCCCCTTAGAGTACCAACATTCTACATGTAGAAATGTACTCTTGCAACTATCTCGTCCTGTTTTTAAAGTACATTTTTAATAAAATGTTTACAAAGGACATGATCCAGCTCCATCAAACTGCTATAT